GAGGAGGCCTGGACCCGCTGGTGCTGGCTTCGTAGACGAGGCTTGAGGGAGGCCTGCGGAAGGTGAGAACCACAGGTCAGCCGCCAGCAGGGAAGTGGAGCTGGATTCACAGCCTGCGGAGTGGATTCTGCTGACCACCTGGCTGAGCAACGGAATGGATTCTCCCCGAGAAAGGCGAGCGGCCCTGCCTACACTTTCATTTCTTTCTTGTGAGACTCCGAGCAGAGAAATCGGACCCGCCAAACTGCTGCCCTCCAGAACTGTGAGATAACCGTGTTGCTGTGAGCGCTAAGTGTGTGCTAGGGTGTTGCAGCAGCTGTGGGAAATAAACCAAACTGCCACCGAGTCTAAGCTCACACCGCCTGTCTCGTGGCGGGCCAAGACGCTGAGAGATGAGGTGTCAGGGCGAGGAATAGCCACTTTATTGGGAAAGCCAGCAGACAGGATGGCAGACTAATGTCCTCAAGAACCATATTAATTTGGAGTAGAATTCAGGCTTCATTTATGCTGAGAGAAAAGGGGGAGTGGGGGGGCGCTCAAGATTAAAGGGTAAAAATGGGTTCCAGACTTCTTGGAGCCACCTGGCTTTCAAGGGAAGTATAACATTTCTGTTTTCCTGCTTGCTGTCCCACGGCCCCTGCAAAACTTCCAGTTGTTAGCACTTATTTTGACTTTACTGCGCTTATCTCTGCTCCTTAGCCAGGCTTCTAGCCTGAAGGTGAAGAACTTCGCTACAACAAGTAGTAGCCAAAACTAACCCAGCACTGCGGGATGGGAACTTTCTCCAGGGGGCTTAAGTGAGCTAGCTGGGCACAAGCAACATTGCTCACTCTGTGTGCAGGGCTAATGTAATAGAACACACCAGCTGAAGGATGTGGGAGGCTGGCTCAAGATTACCGAATTAATTTGTGTGGACCCTGCTCTCTGCCTCCGCAGGGGAGCTTGCTTTCTCCGCTCAGATTCGAACCTGAATGAATTTGTTATTGTTCCGAATAACAAACCCAAAGCCAAGGTAGACTCAGCACAAGATTTACTCAACAGCCAAAGAATGGCGACGTGGAACTAAGTTCACAGATCAACTTCTTGCCCACCTGGCGAGGGGGATGTAATTTTAGAGTGAAGACAGGGCAGAGGAGTGAGGCTAATGATGGCATTAGTTTACCTGGGAAGAGGCAGGGCTCTTTGGAGGGAGTGGGGTGCCACCCCCTTTCTATCCTGTTTTGGTTCTTAATATCCGGTCGGTCGTGGCTGTGGGTAGGTGTGTCATTTAATGTGCTAATGTAGTCAAATCAGCACAGAAGGAGACTCAGGGTCTGTTGGAGGTCAGATTCTTAGCCGTTTTGGTTCCAGCTGGTTTTTTGTTTGTAGCTTCTTTTCTTCTCTCTGGGCCCTTTAACGATTTGTTAACTCCTGCTGGTGGTGGGGGTTGGCAGGTTTTGAGCAAAGACCTGGAGCAGCTCTGGCAACATCCACATGGTGTTAGTTCTGTTCTTCCTCTGTTACAAAACTCCTTCCTGGCCTGAGGGGTCCTCCACCATCTAGTCCCATCCTGCTGCTCCTTACAAATCCATTTCCCACCGTGCAGCCTCTGCTGAAGGCTGCCCCCAGCCTCCCGCTGATATGTGACCCCACTTTCCGCTCCCTCCTCTCCCTTCCATACAGGGCGCCTTCCGCCTGGAACACTCTCCCCACCTCTGGGGGTGCTGCCCCTCCTTCAGGCCTGGCGACAGCCTTTCCTCATGTCCCTCTCTTCTCACATCCAGGCTGGGAATCTCTTTCGCCTACTACGGGGTCATCCTGGCCAGCGCAGAGCTGCTGGAGCGGGACCTGGTCTGTGGCTCGCGTTCCGAGTCCGAGGCAGTGGAGACCACGGGCGTCTCGGAGGAGAGCCAGAGCCCCTGCCACTGCCACATGTTTGCCCCCTCCGACTACCGGACCATGATCATCAGCACCATTGGCGAAATTGCTCGTAAACGTCTCTCTGTCTTGGGTGGCTCTCTGTTTTGGGTGGGGGACATGCAACTGAGAACTCAGAGGAGAGAAGTGGGACCTGTCATACACTTGGCTCCTGCCTGATGGAACTGAACAAGTTCCCAGATCATGCTGACATTTCTCCAGTGCGGGGAGAAGTCTGGAGGAGCAGAACTTTGACTTACTGCATCATATCAATTCTAAGATGCATTTTCCCCCCATATTATAACATCTCTAAAAATTGGGATGTGTTTAACAGCAGCTTGTTAGATTTCAGTTGGCAGCACTGTTTCTGTTTTAAGACATAAAATAATGGTACTTAAAAATCAATGGCACCTGGAATTTGAAAAACAGAATAAAACATTTAAAATACAGGTCCAGCAAGTTGGTAGTTTACCGTAGACCTACATGCTGTAATAAGTGTCCTGGATATAAATTAGCCTTCACACACACCAGTGCTGGTCATTCTCGGACCCACGTGGGAGAAGCACATTGAAGGCGTCATGAAGTTGATGATAATGTGTCTGGATTTTGGCTAGAATATGCATGAAGTTTGAAGTAAGTTGCTTCTTTTTGAAAAGACAGGGAGGAATCGAGGCCAGTGTTGATAAATGCCCTTTGCTTTCAAGGTTCTGAAAATTGTCATTTTTTTCTAGTGAATCCTTTAAATATCCTGGGCATTAATTTCCTGGGAAGACGGCTGAGCCTTTCTATTACTATGGGATGTACAGCTTTATTCTTCCTTCTCCTTAATATTTGCACTTCAAGGTATTTTCTCTCCAGTTGCTTTGAAACAATCTAGTTTTGTGCAGCGGCTTTAAGATGAGATCTCTTGACCCGTGACTTTCAGTGGGGTTCAGGGGAAAGCTGTTCTCACCAGGAGAGTAGAGAACGTGGTGCTTGTTGGACCAGAACAGTCTTGTCCAGTAGCTGCCCCTCCCACTCCACTCTTCCCCTGATCCGGCCCCTCTCCAGTTCTCGCGGGACACGGGTACCAGTGTGGGGGTACTCAGTTCACTCACCAAGATATGTAGGATCTTTACGCCAAGCTTTCTGGAGGATGCGGACCGTAGTTGTTGATCAGATTATCCACATCATTGTTAAGATACTGATGTAGACAACATACCTGTGGTGGGAAAATTCATCGCGCTCTTGATCTGCAACACTAGAGTGGCCTTGTTTACAGTATATATCACTTATTCTGTAAACCATACCATTTTTCAGGGGTGGAGACAGAGGTGTGCTCATCAGAGGGGCTGAGCAGGACACTTTGGGGGAACAGGATTGAAGGTTTGAGTCAGGCTTTTGCTTTAGGGCCCCCCAAGCAGGCCAGCCGGGAAGCAGCACCTCCCTGGGGACCTGGTCTCCATGGGTGTGTACTGGCATCTGTAATGCACTTACATCGGGGCCCCAGAAGGCCCTCCGTGCTGCCTCTGGTAACTTCTCTCATTTCCGGTCCCCTAGTGCCGGTCTCATTGGCTTCCTCTTCATGCTGAGGGCTTTGGTGGCAGCCAACTTCAACACCATCTAATTTACACCGCTGAGGTTAGTCCTGGGGAAGGGGTTGGTGATGTGCAAGGTGAGCTGCCTAGACAGGGTGTTCATCCGTTGATAACGTTTCCCTGGCTTCTGTCGACTTGATGACTTTCTAAAAGTGTCCTATTAAAATGACATGGGGCTAGGAGGGGACAGCTCAATGGCAGAGGGCGTGCTTATGCACAAGGTCCTGGATTCAATCCCCAGTACTTCCATTTAAAAAAAAATGGATTTTAAATAAATAAACCTACTTGCCTCCTCCACTCCACCAAAAAAACAAACCAAACACAAAACAAAACAAAAAAACCCCAGAAGGCTTATTTGATATAGTCTTTCCCCTGTTCCCAGTGAGTCTAGTGAAAGCCAGTCTGAGAAGAAAGACAGGACCTTCTCCCTTGCTCATTAAACGGCATCCAAGTAAAAAACAACTCTGCCCTTGTACCCTGCTTCCAGCAGAATGAGGGCCTGGTACCTGCTCGTTGCTGATACAATGGAAAGCACCCTATTTCTCTTGAAATAAGAATGTATTTTTCACCTTTATTCTTTTGAAAGATCATGTCTCACTCCGTTGTTTGTCATATGTAGCTTAAATTCGAATGTAGTGGTAATTTATTGAAATATATCTACTTAATAGTCTACTTGTGGGGGAGCTAGAGGATTTCCTCACAAACCCTGTTTGAAAGAGCTAATATTCCTAGAAGTAAGCAATATCTGAATAGGAAACAGTATTTTGACTGGCTTTGTCTCTCACAGCCAGAGAAGGTGGGGACTGATGAAGCTGCATTCATTGCCTTCTTGGGAAAGTGGAAGTCTGTTCAGAATACAGAGAGGACACAGCAAAACCATTAAAGCCACAGAGAAATATTCCTTTCCCCTTCCACAGATAAACATATGGGATTATGATATATTTGACATATACATTCATTCATTTAGTTTCGTGAACAAAATCTTCTAAAATCATAGTGAATTTATGAACTTAAAAGTCTATGTGTTATTTGGTGTGCCTCTAATGTTATATGGGGAGTGTTCAATTTAACATAGTTTGGAACGTGTTCACTGAAAGGGTCATTTCTAGGTATTTTTTCCCTGATACTTACTGTTTAAAAAAAATCAAAGATGTGTCCCTGAAGATGATTGTCTTCTATTTTTTCATCTCCTAGAACTGTCAAAAATGAACAAGAAACTACCAATATTAGAGCAGAGGTGATCACTATATATCTGAATCCATTGTTTTCAACAGCCAGCAGCCTCATTTGCCAGAAAAACTCTGAAAAGGCACTCTACCCCCCCCAGACCTCTTAAAAATACAGCAGTGTCCTCTGAGGCAGGAAAGCATCTTGTTTTTGCATTTGACAGAGGGTGGCTAACACGATGTGGCCAAGTAAAGAGGGCACGTTGCTTTGCTTTAGTGAAATGATAAAAACTGATCAGTATTCTATAGCATTAAGAGAAAAATTCCAAAATTAAAAAATTCTTTCATAGTCTCCCTATAATTTAATTTATTAAATACTTGCTTATTCAGAATTCTGAATCAATAAGTACAGATGAATGAGGCTTTACTATAAACACAGGAAAACTGTAGCAAGAAAGTAGGCTCTGCCGTAAGAGTCTGCAACACAAAGCCGGTGAACGGCGTAGCGCGTGTTGGGCACGCAGGTCAGTTCTTTTCGCAGCGCCTGTGTTGAAGGTTTGGTAGGACTGTTATTTGGGGAGTGTTTTCTTCCCGTTCAGTAGAACCACCTCTGTACTTCCATAGCCATGAAGTGGAAATCTTCCGTCTGATTCCAGGGCTTACCTTTCTAAACTTACATTTGGAATATTCAATTAAACACGTACTTTGTGCACTTAACAAAAAATTTGTAAGTGTTAACTTTTTTTCCTGGTATTGTTAAAAGTCAGAGCTGTGTATCTGAGGAAATGAACACCTTCTATTCTATGTCCTATACATCTCAGAGTATTTGGTGGTGTATGTATACAGAAGCCTGACCTCGGGAGGGCGGGCGGAGGACTGGGGAAGGAAGGGTCTAAACTAACTGATGCTTCTATTTCCTCCCCTCCAGGTCTACCCCACGACGATGCGAGCTTTGGGGATGGGGACCAGTGGCTCCCTGTGTCGCATTGGAGCAATGGTGGCGCCGTTCATATCCCAGGTACAGCCCAGGAGTCTCTGTGGGGAGGATATGTCTAAGGGAGGTTGGGGAAGAGGGACCTGGGTCTTTTCAGGTTAAGGTTTAACCTAGGATTTGTTGATATGAGTTTTCTTGAGGTGCTGTTTTCTGATTATTTGGCGAATTTGGGGAGGAGAAAAGGCTAAATTAATGCTTCCAGGCTTCCCGTTGGTCAATAGCATGTATTGCGTTGCATGAAGGGTTTGGATTTTGCTGGACGTTGTTGGGGGAGGATGCAAAAGACAAGGCTAACACAGGAGCTTGAGCAGTTGGATGACACGGGACCCCAACCTTGACACTGTTGAGGGTGCAGTTGGAAAATTGTGCAGTGAGGCTGAACCAGGGTGCAGGGAGGTGGCCCTGGGCAGGGTAAGTCCAGCGCTCAGGCCGACCAAGTGCAGGCTGGGAGAAAACCCAGGGGTGACCTGGACTGTTGGATGGGGCCTTGTTTCAGGAGAGAAACAGAGGTAGATTTGGTGACCTGCATGGCCATGGTCAGTTTGCCCCCCCTGCACTGATGGTTCTCCATTGGCCATGAGAAACGGACCACCTGAGCTGGCTGCAGCCAAGGAGCCAGTGAGGCTGTTGCTGCAAAACCGAGCTCTGTACCCTGAAAATGGATTGAGACCCTGAGGCAGAGTTTTGGGAGGATTGGAAAAGATTTATTGCTTTGCCAGGCAAAGGGAGTCACAGCAGGCTCATGCCTTAGAGACTGAATCCCTCTTGGAGTTGGGGTCTTGAAGTTTAACAGAAAAAAACTGGATGGAACAGAAAAGGTGGTAACAATCAGGGCGCTTTACAGGGTGTGGCTACATCGCCCTTAACCTCCATGAATCTTTCTGGCGTCCTGGGGGAACTGCAGAGGGTCTGTCCATTCTTCTGAGATTATCAGCCCATTACCTTCTTCCTGGAGCGTGGCGTCTAGGTTAAAACTATTGTAAAGAATGTAAGGGAGGAGTTTGGGGGTTACTTAGCACAAAAGCAGTAAAAGGAGAGAAAGCAAACTGCAGGATTTCTTAGTTAGAAAGAATCAGCAGACAATTTCAGCATCAGGGAAGTTAGTTCACTTCCTACTCCTTCAAAGCTGGGCCCTGGGTGAGCCTGACCCAGGCAGTCTGGGGCCCGGGGTCGCCCCTCCACCTCTCCGAGCATTCAGGCTTTACTCTTCTCTGAAGACCACTGTGCAACACTTGCCCACAAATCCTAAACATAGGTCCTCAGATCCAGCCACCAGAAGACACTGATGTACTCTTTGCATCCCAGAAAGATGCTCTCTTTGCATCCCACTGGCCAGGTCTGGTCAGCTGTTCATACTTGAGCTCAATCTTGTGCCCAAGAGTCAGGTTTATGTGCTAATGCATCTGGGGAGGGGTAGTTTCAGAGCAAGGGGGGTTGATGTGGACTGAGCAGACTCTAATGTGTATTTCCTATCATTTAACATTTTTTAATTGAAGTACCATCAGTTACAATGTGTCAATTGTAATGTCCCAGTCATACGTATACATATTTGTTTTCATATTCTTTTTCATTAAAGGTTTTTTATAAGCAATTGAACATAGTTCTCTGGGCTATACAGCAGAAACTTTTTAAAATCTATTTTTATATATAGTGGCTAACATTTGTAAATCTCAAACTCCCAAATTTATCCCTTCCCACCCGCTTTCCCTGGTAACCATAAGATTGTTTACTATGTCTGTGAGTCTGTTTCTGTTTTGTAGATGAGTTCATAGTGTCCTTTTTTTTCTTTTTAGATTCCACATATGAGTGATATCATATGGTATTTTTCTTTCTCTTTCTGCCTTTCTTCACTTAGAATAATGATCTCTAGGTCCATCCATGTCGCTGCAAATGGCGTTATTTTATTCTTTTTATGGCTGAGTAGTATTCCATTTTAACAGGGGATTTTGCTACTACCTTAAAACTATTTGGGAAATGTTTTGCCCACTGATCTTAATTAAAAATAAGGGCAGTTTTGGTCTTGCAATTTTGCTTCTTAAAGTTCTTCTGCACGAACTATTTAACCATTTTCAGAAAAGAACATAATGGTCAAAGATAGCAGTAAAATATTAATCCAATTTTTGGATGAGCAGACTGAGGTATAGTTTATTTTCCAGACTTTAATTAGGAATTGAGTCTCTTGGTTCTCAACCACTTGGAACATTTTCTCTGGGTATTTGAGGCCACCCTGCTTTTGGTGACTTTGTGGACCAAGAAAGAGTCTCAACTGGGACCAGGTCTGGGCTTACGGCTCTGCTTAGCATCCTGCCTGGGGAGTTCTCAGCTCTTTACAGTTAAAGTGTCCACACTTCTATGCCCCTATCATCTGTAAAATAAAGATAAACAATAGCACCCACTACATAATTTGTTCTGAGTATTAAATGAGATTAATACCTGCAAGGCACTGAGCCCAACATTTGACACATAGTAAGCACTTAACGGTAGCTGGTAACGATAACGATGCTCAATAACGATCAAGGCCAAATGCTAGATATTCATATAAATATCCCTCAATAACAAAGATACTTTGAGCTCAGGCTATTTCAATCACTATGCAATCGGAATGCTTTGCTTTCCTCACCAGGATTGGGATGGGAAGGTAGCATCTGGAAAGATTTGCTTGTTCCTAGGATATTTGCCTGGGTTTTGGGTGGGACGAGCTGCTCCAAAGAGACAATAGAGCTTGGTGTCACTCTCAGGAGGCGCTCAGTCTGTGTACCCTTGGACATGGTTCTCTGACTTCAGTGCATATCAGATCGTCCAGGGTCACTTGATATCGTGAAGACTCCAGGACTTCACCCGGAGATTCTGATTCTGCACATGGGACCATGCCTACAGTTTTAACAAGTTCCCAGAGTGAATCTGATGCCATTGGTCTGTGGACCAGTGAGAGGCACGGCCATCAACAGGGACGATACCAACGGGGAGACAAGCTCTACTTTCACTTAATTCTTCTTCCTTCCCTTCCCCCTGCCCTTCCCCATTCCTCTCTCCTCCTCCTCTTTCTTTTGTCCTTCATTTTAGGAACTTACTTTAGTGACCCATTTGACAAGGTATTTTCAGAGTAATTCTCTACAAATTCTAGGTACCCTCTTACACAGTTGGGCAGTTATTATGCCAAAAAGGACTCCGTGAGCCACAATCTATATTTGATAGAATAGAATCGAGAATTTATCCCAGTTCAACATTCAGCCAGCATTTTCTGCACGCTTACTCTGCCTGGCCTGGTTCTAGTTCTGTTTATTTGCAGCAGTAAATAAGCCAGACCAGGTTCCAAGTGGTGTGCTGGTGCTGGCTTGCTCTGGCTTGTGAAAGCCGATGGCTAAATTTTCAAGAAGTTATTTTGCAAGAAGTTATTATGTCACACTGTAGCTTGAAATTAGCATGGTGGTAGTAAGTATCCCAAGGCCATAGGCAAATGGGTGTTTTGGGAAAGCCTGTTAAACATTTGACAGTGTACCACAAGACTCCTACTCTCAGGAGACTCACTTTCAAGTTAGTTACTTTACACGTAGGTAAACAATTAAGATGATTCAAATAATTTGAATTATCTTTGTATCTGTAAAGCACCCATCTTGAAAGGAAGTTGGAAGGAATGATAATGAGTAAAAGGGGTGACAGTCATTTAAAAGGCAAAGCTTCATTTTAGCCAATATTTTATAAAAACTATAAATGGGATATAGCCTTTAAAAAATTGTGAATCACTATATTGTACACCTGTAACTTATATAATATGGTACAGCAACTGTACTTCAGTGAAAAAAATTATTTAAAAAAAATTTAAAAATGACAGGGCCTCTCTGGGAAGGTGACATTGAAGGTGAGACCATGAAGTATGAGATGTTAACAACTTGTAAAGGGAAACAGCATTTCAGGTGGGATGACAGC